TTGGCGTGATCAAATGCTGGTATTTTTTATATATATTTTTTTCTAATACAATTTTAACTAATATGCGACGTTATCAATATTTAAAATCAAAATTTTATATAAATAGCAATTTCATTAGTAAATTATTTTGAACACAAGTTAATTTATTCAACTATATAGTATTACAAAACCAAAATCTCATTTACTTCCATCAAATATAATTTTTGTAGTGAGACAACATAAATATATTCTTAAAATTAAAAAATTTACCTTATACATGTTATAAATATTCTAACAAATTTTATTTACACAAATATCAATTATTGCAAATAAACCCACACAACACAAATAAAGTAACACCAACCATTATTAAATTTTATTTTTTTTTAATATTAGAAAAAAAACAAATATTACTCTATAAAATGGCCAGAGAGTATTAATCCATATAATTTAACAACTAAATAACAATTTAATAATGAAAGAATTATTATTATTATTATTATTATTATTATTTTATGATGAGATGAAAACTCAACGTATCCAATACTTCATTTGTTCTACCTAAATAATCTTACTTCTCATCCAGACTTGTTCTAAGCAAATGATTCATTTTTTATTTTTATTTTTTATAATTTGAAAATTTGCAGCTAGCTAATCGTTGAGTTCGTTTTGGGTAAATCTCGGTCGAACCTAATACCTTGCAAATTAAACTCGATAAGCAAGTCACATTAGGTGGACCATGTGTGACAAATGGACCTCTGGAGGCATTGGAAGTTTAAATCCGTAACCTAATGGTCACGAGTTCACATTCACAGACTATTCTTTACGAGACTATTTTTGTTTTAAGTTTACGGTGATTCTCAACTTCTCATTCAATTACTAATTTACATATACTTGTTGGAAATTTTGACAGTTCGAAACTTAATTCAACGAGTCCCTCGATAAATAAAATATGTTGGTCCACTCTTTAGTCCGACCCATCAAATCGGCCGAATTTCTTTAAATCCAAACCCCAAGCCCAAACCTTTAATCCTAAGTCCATTACTTGGTTAGATTAATTTTTGGGTAGTTTATTAGATAGAAAGATTGAGAGTTTGGTATGTATAAGTTTTCATAGAGTAGAAACCGATCAGTGAGGAGATGGAGTGAACAGATGAAATTATATCGAATTTCGATGAATTTTTATTTTTTAATTTTTTTTAAAAAAATCTTATACTAGTGAAATTTATACGAGAGTTATACAATATAATTTTATTTTTTATTTTTATTTTTTCAAATTATTTCAATGTGAAACTTAGTTCTCTTTAATACACATACAATCAAATTTTGTGATAAAATTAAGATTATGAACTAATTATGTCGCATAAAAATGTTATCACTTATCAGCTTGAAGTCAATATCGAATTCATCGTCTTTATTTTTTTTTTTCAATATCAAATTTACTGTTTTCTTTTTTTAATAAGTGTGAAAATTCATTATTACTTTTAATTATTACACAATCTCAATTTTTTTTTTTTTCTAACAAAAAGTAATTCCACAAATGAATAATATTACCTTCGTAAATAATCAATCTATTTATTTATTTTAGTTTTTTGTATTAATCATAATCAATATATCAAAATTTTACTATTTTAGTAGATTTGGTTTCCATAGAATAAAAAAAATGCTATTATATTTCATAAAATCACCAATTACACTCATTTAATTAATATATTCTTACACATTATCTTGTAAAAGTACTCATTTTAATATATCTACACAAATATGCTCATTTTATATTTAGTAAAATATACATTTCTTTTTCAAATTTAGGCAAAATAGCAAAAAGGTTTACGAAATTTGCTCCAAAGATTCTAGTCCTAAAATTGAGTTTTACTTATGGTTCAGATAATGTTATAAAAAATATCCAACCCATTGGTACGCGCTTAAATTATACTCTCTCCGTTTCAATACAATAGTCTAGATTACCATTTTATGTTCGTCTTAAAACAATAGTTTTATTTCCATAAATAACCATATTACTATAAAACTACCCTTACTTTTTCATTATTATTACACAATTGCCACTACTTTTTACACTAATACACTCACAAGAGCAAAAAAGTCTTTTACCCGTACTTTTTACCTACTACCAATATAATATCATTATTTCTTAAATCTTGTGCTAAACACAACACATACTATAATTTTGGGACGGAGGGAATAAGTATTATTATAAATTCATAGATAAATACGAGAGAAAGATACAAAAATACCCTCCTACGTATTATTAAAACTAATTTTTTTAATCTCAAATTATTTATGAATTTGTAATAATACTCGCAGTTAAGCCCATCTATTATAATATCCGTTAAATATTAATAGGTGTGGTATTTTTTGTAACACTATAAAAAGCACAAGTACGGAAAATAAAATTTTAGGGTTGGAGGGTCTTTTCACCAATTTTTGCAAATTGTAAATAATTATTATATTTATATATAGTTAGTTTAAACTACTATACCATCATGGGGATGTAGCTCAGATGGTAGAGCGCTCGCTTAGCATGCGAGAGGTACGGGGATCGATACCCCGCATCTCCATTCTTTTTAATTTTATTTATGGGCCTAAGCTCAATTTAATTTGGGCTTTTATTACTGGGTTTAAATAATTTCTTCGGCCCAATTAAAGTGTTGAATATATACTACTTTGTACCTATTTAAAGTTTATGCACTTATTTATTTTTCATTATAATCTCAATTCTATCTATGAAGAATATTTTGGTTTAATTAAATAAACATATATTAACTGATATATGTTTTAATTAAATGATATATGTTTTAATTTTAATTCTATACAAGAAAAATAATGTTATATAGAATAATATGTAGAGAGATGTTGTTTGTTAGTGTATATATATATATATATATAATAAAAAATAAAAATAATTGTACTAAATATTACACAGACTTGTGTGTGTTTTGCAATTTGAAATATATATATAAATAAGTGTTGGATATAAGCATTTTAGAGAAAATATATATATATTTTTGTAATATAAATGAGAAAAATAAGTTCACGACTAGGACCAATTATACTCTTCTTTTTCAAAATATTTAACTCTGTATATATATTGGATTTTTGGGTGAATTACCCATACCAGGTTCTTGATCCTTTTTCACTTCTTTTCTATGCGATTCATGCTACGATAATCTGATCCGCGGTCCAATTTCTCCGAATTGGAGCCCAATATTTCATCCTAGAATTATAATCTTAGTCATTCGTTGCTGCATTGATATATATATATATATTTATTGTCGTCTCTTTCATTTTTCATAGTAGTCGTTGATATATGTTTTTTTCTCTCAAAAAGTTGTTATGTGTCGTGATCATTTTACCTCTTCTTCTGGTGTATGTCCGGCAGGTGTTTTCCGACGATATTCACTGCAATTGTATTAGGCCTTTGTTATGTTGGACATTGGGGAATCTTTGATGAGATTTAATTTCTACTGTCCGATTTTTTCAAATTGTGCTGTTTAATTTTGAGATTTTGAGTTTCTTCTTTCTGGGTAGGAGATAGGCTCGTCGGGTGTCCGTTGACTGTCGTTGGAACATCTCTTCCTTCTTGTCGATTTCTTTGTTCGATAAAGTGAACCGATTTTAAATCTGAGCCACATTAGTGTGTTCTTTGTGTTTCGATTGTGTTACGTTTGTGTTTTTGTTTTTCAATAAAGTTCTATTTAGTTCCTTTCAAATATTGTGTTCGATTTAGTATTTTCGATCCAAAATATAACAATATATATATAATATAGGGTAAACTGTTTTTCTAATCTCGTAATTAGATCCCTTTATTATTTTACTTCTGTAACTAGAGGTTGTCTTAAAATAGTCTCGTAAGTGAAATTTTTTTTCAATTTAGTCCTCAATGCCTCTGTGGCATCTGCGTGGCGGCTGATGGACGTGTGTCAGCCAGATCAGCGCCACATGGCTGACACACGTGGATAATTGTTATTTTTAAAATTTATTTTTAATAAAAATAAATAAAATTAAATATATAAAATTTAAAATTTAAAAATATAAAAAAATAAAAATTATCCACATGTTCGTCAGATCAGTTCCACGTGACCACTATGTGTATAATTTATATTTTTTATATTAAAAATAAAAATAAAATATAAAAATATAATTAAAAAATATAGTAATATTATAAATTATTAAAAGTCGCATAGTGCTGATTTGACGGACATGGATAATTTTATTTTTTATATTATTTATTTTTAATTTTTAATTTTATTTTTATAATTTTTTATCTTTTTATTTTAAAGAAATAAAAATAAAAATAATCCACGTGACATGACACGTATCCGCCAGTCTGCCACATAGATGCCACCTAGGCATTGATGACTTAATTCAGAAAATTTTTCTCTTACGAGACTATTTTAAAATAACCTTCAGTTACGAGATTAAAATGATAAAAAAAATTTAAGTCACGTGACTTCAAAATCAGTTTACCCTATAATATAGGGTTCATTCCACAAAAAAAATTGTTGGCTTGAGATTGAGTTTGAAGAATATTTTAATATTATATTTTATCAAAAAATAATATATTTTTATTGAAAATGATGTAAATAAGTAACGACTTATTTTAGTTTAAATAAAAATCACACATTTATAAAAGAAAAAAAAATAGTATTTCTTTCGTTTCAAAACTATAGTCTGGGTAAAAAATTTTTTTATCCTTGTGTAAAACACAGTGACAATTGTGTAATAATAATGAAAAAGTAAGACTAATTTTACAGTGATATAATTATTTATGAAAATGAAACTATTGTTTTAGAACGGATTGGGACGGAGTATATACAAACATGGATTAAATGCTTGATCCCATTAAATCAGCATAATAATTTGATACTCGAGAATTGATGTGTATACGAATCATAGAGGTGACCAGCTAATATTTATTTTCTTAAATTTATTCACACAAATATTATTGTGACCACTACACAATTCAATTCGAACCATCTTTCTCCCCCAATGTCCCCATCAACATTTAAATTGCAATTCCAATTTATAATAATATCATCAAATTCAAATTACAAACAAACACAGAAAAATTAAAATAATAAAAACAAAAAATTATACCAAAATGGATATATGTATGGTCAATTAGGCATTGGCCAACACTCCCCATTATTTCTATTTACATCTTACAAAATAAAGCAATTTAGACAGATTCTTTTCAAAAAAAAAAAAAAAAGGAAAAAAAAAAAGTGTGGTCAACAAGACATTGGCCAACAACACAAAAATTAAATTTCTAACAAAATATATATATATATATATATATGAGATTTATTACAAGATCATAAATCATTCTTCATTGACTGCTACAAAAATCCAAGAATCCCATGAACTCGTTGTGTTTGATCATCCAAATGCTTTTCCCTATTCCAACAACACCTTCAAGTACAAATATATATATATATATATAAATATAATCGATTTGATTAGAATACTATATTTTTTCAATAAAATAAAATTTTTGATGTAATATTTTAAATGAAAAATAACGATAAAGTAAAATTTTTGATGTAAAATTTTAAATGAAAAATAACGACAGAGAATAAATGAATAGCGACTTTTCTTACCCATCGTAAGAGCGCTCGCGAATATGACGCCGGAGAGGATGAAAACAATAATCGAAACTCTTCCGAGGATCGCGATAGGTTTTCTTACCAAGCATTGCCCCCAAAACCCGGCCAAGATCGAAACGGACATAAGATATACAGCTGGACAAGACAAGAAAAGACAAGAAAATTCGAAGCCATCATCGAATTATACGATTCATTGTAAGATCGAACGATCGATATTTTCGCGCAACCTTACCATAAGGGATTGGAAATCTTTTGAGTAGATAAAACTCAACCACGGATAGAGATGAGGAGAACATCATTACAAAGGTCGCCGTCGCGCTCGCGACCTGTAACAACGGAAATTTCCGATGTTGTCCTTAATCAATACAAAACGACGAAAGTATCATTGTCAGAACATTAAATCGATGAAGGCGACAATACCTGAGGGATCACTCCAATCTCGAGCAAGAGGGGGCCGAGGATGAAGCCCCCGCCGGAGCCTAACAGGCCCCCAACTGTGCCACCCAAGAATCCACACAGCGCGCAGAACGCAAGATTTGTTGCTGTCCATTGGATCGCTGCTTCGCAGATTAGATCGGGATTTCCGGCCAGTCGCCTTTTCTTGCTTTCCTTGTACAGTTTGACGCATTCGTAGACAAAAACCATCAGCGCAACGGGAATCTGCGAATGCAAGAAAAAGTAAAGATTGAAACTTGAGAATCGAGCAGATGCGACGAGGATCTTTTCTTTTTTTTACCTGTAATAAACTTAGCACCCAATACCATGTACTGCAAGTTTTCGTGTCGTTCTGGGAGGGAAGAGACGACGAACAAAAGGTTAGTATTAATGTAAAAAAATCGAAAACGTTGCGTTGAAATGAAGAAATCGTTTGCTTCTCTTGCCTTGATTATTTGAAGAAGAAGAAAGCAGATCCATACGAACAGCAGCGCGAGGATTCCCTTGACATTAAGGTTGCTCTTCATGATTTGCTGCGAAGGAATTCGAATTATTCGATGCAGAGGATCGAAGAAAAAAGAAAACAAAAACACGATTGGAGAAGATGGAAGGAGAATTAAAATGTGCTCACCAATGGTGTTTTCTCCTCTTTAGGAGACAACGATTCGTATGCATCGATCAATACTGATACGCCCAAAAACACAACAGGAAATCGAAAAATGTTTAGCTTCACTCTGTAAATTTATAAACCTCACAAATTGCAGTTTCACTACTTACATTCGCCGCGAGAATCGACGCACGTCAGTTTATCTTCCATGGCTTTCTGCATCACATAATCCATGCTTTAAAGCTAAATATATATACATATATATGTATGTATGTGTATGTAATGAAAGACTGCTGATGAGTGAACTAACCTTAAAAACGGATTCGTCCTTCCACATCTCGATCGCCTTAGCAAAGGACCGAGAAGAAGTTCCTGCACAGTAGTCACAATATCATCAAGAATCCATCTAAAAGATAATCAGTTTCGCGAAAGTCGAACCAGTCATTAATCACAAACAAAAAATTTGAATAAGATTCAATAATCTTTGATCAAAACAGGGCAATAAATACGATTATCGTACCCAAGAACAAGATTATAATCAAGACAGTGATGAGCCAATACGGAAAGACAACACTCATAGCCACACCAAAAGTTATGCCGACCATTAACATAGGCTGGAATAAAAGAGCCAAATCGTAGTCGATTATCGGCACTTCTCTGCAAGGATGAGGCACTCTCATGTTGTACCAAACCGACGACGCCGAAGCCCCCATTATCATGCCTGGAAAGAACCAATCACCTCAAAAAAATCTCCCAACAATTCTATACAAGGGATAAAATTCAAAAACAGAACAAATTCAACAGGCGCATTTCGGCGAACACATGTCCTGCGCCATAGACAAAAGCTCGATCTATACAACAAGTTAAGTGATATACAAATTTCCAATTCTTACACTTCGAAATTGCAGCAGCAGATTTTGTATCGAATCCAACAACTAGAGTTAGCATCGGAACGAAAATTCCTCCTCCCCCAACCCCACCCACAGTGCCGCAAGCAGAGCCTAAAAATCCAATTACAGTGGCCAGCACAATTCTCCAACTAAACTTCAATTCCTATCGAAACACAATAACAATTAGGTTAAAAAAAAAAAACAAAAAAACAAAAACACACAATTCCGTCGATTTTTAACGCAAATTCCTCACTTAAAACAGCAACATTCAATCGTCAGTTACTTACAGGCCAGACTAGGGTTTCGGATCCATTTGTGGACGAAAGCAGCCATGGCTTCGCATGGCGGCCTTGCGAGTAGCTATTGACCCAATAAACCGATACAACAGCCAATGAGAACCCTGTCAGAAGATAAACCACGAACTCCTTCGCAGCCATGGCGGACGAAGATACACACACCTGCAACGAACTCAAAATGCCAAATCCTCACCAGTCACCACACAAATGCTTCTACAGCGTTCAAAACTACGATTCCGAAATTAAAGGAACTGAGCGTTTGCACAATCGGGAATCACCAACAAGATTTGATTTTTGGTTTTGTGGGAAGGAATTGTGGCGGAAATCGAAGTATTAATAGCATTTTTTGGGCACGTGAATATCGTAGAGGCGGCGCATTGCGCCAATTACTACAGCCGTCGATCGCATGCTTCCCCGAATCACCACGTGGCAGAATATGATATGCTGGATTTTATTTGATCTCAATCGGAGATCTCACCTCCCTCGTCCAACCCAGTGCCAGGTAAGCAAAAATTTAAAGGAAAACAATTAAAAAATCTTCCTTTTGTTTTTTTTTTTTAATTAATTTTAATTTTATATAGTATTTATTATAATATATTTATCATATTATATACTCATTCCCAGGTCCACGTTGCCGTTTCTGTCCGTCCCACATACCATAACATTTTAAATTTTAAATTTTTTTAATTTTAATTAAACTAATTAGTTATCTTAATCTTAATTTATAATTATTTATATTATCGGATAATTATTTTCACTAATACATTTTTAATTATCTACTAATTACACTCCTCCTAAAATATTATTCTCTATACAATAATATATATATTGATGTATTTTTTTTTAAAAAAAAATTAACTTTAAAAATAAATAATTTTGATATAAATATATAAATATATTTTTTTTGTTGAGTTGGAGGAAAGAGAATACGAGGTAGAAAAAAGAAAGTATAAAATAAAATTGGAGAGATACTTTGATAGAATACCCTTTTTTTCCTTTTTTTTTTTTTTGTTTTTTTTGTCATTACCTTTATATCATACAATACTAATAGAGTTAATTTAGTCTTTTTACATTTATTTTTACTTTATTTAAATATAATATTAATATTTCTAATGCTAGTAAAAAAAAAATAAATGAATATATAGATACGAGAAGGGGAGTATTATTTTACATGTGCAACTTGGTTTATTGTGGATTGTTCAATCATTCACAACTTGAACCAATTTAATATTTACTCAATAATTGCCGTAAAAGACATTCTATCTTTTTGGCGAATATATAGTGATAAAAATATTTAAAAATTGGAGAATCTTTTCAACAGGTAACATGTTAATTGCTTTATACTAGATTTTATTCTTTTATTATTATTTTATAAAATCTATAAATTATACAAACGGCCGTCACTACAGCGCCACAGTATTGACCGCAGTCTCCTAGTGTTGTGACCTTATCAGTACTGACGCGGCAGGAGTCCGACTCCCGGGAGTCCACATTCTGTAAGACAGGATAACACCTGATTCCGCTTAATATTCTTGGCTGCAATGATTTTTCAAATTTAAAATATTATTATCCTGTTTATCTAAATTTATTTTTATTTTTTCATTTAAATTTATTTTCGTTTATTATTTTTTCATTTTTTACTTCATTATTAAAGAATTAGTTTTTATTCAATTTTTAAAAAATCTCTACACAATAAAATGCACAAAATTTGAATATATATTTCTATTTATTTATTTATATACTCTAGAATACTAATGATAATTATGTCGAAAATGGCTGCTTTAAAGTGATGTGGTAGACAAATTTATAATTGTAGAATCACTGATTACGATTTAGGATTTATAAATAATAAAATTTTATATAATTCAAATAAATAAAAATAGAATTATTTACTTATGAGTACTATCAACTAATTTTATAAGAAAATAGAGATTTTTTTAAAAAATAAAATATTTGTTTATCAAAGATAAATAGAAATAAGGAGATTTCAAGTGAGTCTTACGATGTAAAATTATATAAATTTAACTAAATTAATTTATATTTATTATGTATATTTAAAATTAATAAATTTATTTAAAAATATATTCTATTCGTCCCGAAATTAAGTATTCATTTGTTTTTTGCACGTAGTTTTAGAAATATTAGTATTATATTGGAATATAATAAGAATAAAGTAGAAATGACTAAAATAACCTTGTTAGTATGTGTGATATAAAGGTAATGACATTTGTGTAATATATTGTAAGTTGTAAAGGTATTTGTAATGTTAGGTAGAAAGTATAGTTACTAAAAAATCAAAGGGATACTTTGTTATGGGACGAAGGGAGTATTAAATTATTATAAAATATATTAAAATAAAAAATGTATCAACTGTTATAGAGGAATTTGAGTATTATTTTTGTAAAATAAAATACTCCCTATGGACAAATGTATCAATTCGAAGTTTTTATAATAGATTAAAAAATAATAGTATTTTATAGGTTATTAAAAATATATAAGATGTTTCTGATATATTTTTTTTTCTTTTTATACTCTGTGTATCTAATACTCCTTCCGTTTCACATAAAATATCTACATTTTTTATTTCGATCCACCTCACATAATTTGTCATTTTTATTTTTGAAAATATAATTATACACTTTAATTACATTTTAAAATTCATAATTTATAATTCTTTTAATCTTAATTAAACTATTTAGTTATGTTAATTTTAATTATACTTTATATAATTTTTCGTATTTACAATAACAAGGGCAATTTACATGGAACGGAGGGAATAATGCGTTTGGAATTTATGTAAAAGTTAAAAATATTTATTATTAATATGTTATTAATTTTAATATAATATAAAATAAATTTTTGAGTAGGTCAAACGAAAATAATAACAATAATATTTTCAATTGAGATAGAGAAAATAATATATATTTTTTATATCATAAATCATAATACTCCCCCATCATAAGATAAATAATATCGTTTTTTTTTTTAACGTAAATTTTTTTAACAATAGTATTATATTGTTTGTAGTAAAAAAAAAAAGAAAATTATTTTCATTAATATTATGTAATATTAAAATAATGATATATATATAATATATTTTAAATTGTAAATACATTTATTATTTAGATAGATAGTACACATACTAAATTAAAAAATTATATCCTTAAATTAAAAAAATGAAACCTTTTTTATAAGAAGAAAAAAGTTTTAAATAACACATCAAGGAAAAACAATAAATTGAATCTAAATTATGAGCTTGAAACAATTAAAAATTAAATGTGTGTTCTTTAGAAAATTTGGAGTTTATTCACCCGACCTATATTTTGGCGGTACGATTTTTCATAGATATTATAAAAAAGTATTTCTTACATCTCGGTGCAAGGTTGCCGTTTACTTTTTCAATGTAAATTTTTTAATATTAGTATTATAATGGATTATAGTGAAAAATACAAAAATGCCCCTATTATTGTTGTGTAATATAAAAGAAATGACATTTGTGTAATATAGTGTAAGCAGGGTCGTTCCTGACTTTCAAAGGGCTCGGGACGAAATAAAAGTCAGGGCCCTTAAATATATATATATATATATAATATTTTTTTTACCTATAATAAAATATAAATAAATAAAAAAAATATTTTTCCTAACATAAATTTAGTTTCGAAACTTAGCATAAATTTTTTATATACTTTAAAAATTGCGTAACGCTCCTTTATATTTTAACAAACACTATATGAAACTCTTGCCATGCAAAAAATATAGATGAAAAGTCATCTTCTCATCACAAAAAAAATATAAAAATGAGTTTCATGGAACGTTTTTTAAAGTATAAGGGGTTCATGTAATTTTAAAAGTATATAGAGGATTTACACTAAGTTTCGAAATCATAAAGGAATTATTGATAATTTTTCCTAATAGTTTACATGTTTCTATTTTGGGACGTCCAATTACAAAGTTTACATTTCATTAAATACCTTACTTTTTTCCACAAATACTCTTACTTTACATCACATCGTTACTTTTACACAAAAAAAAGTAAGGGCAAAAATGTCATTACATTACTTTTAACTACTCACTATAATTAAAATACTATTATTTCTTAAACACCGTGCCAAAAGTAAATGTAACCCTTGGAAATGAACGGAGGGACTATATTTTTTATATATAATAAAATATAAATAATTAAATAAAATAAATTTTATAATATTTTTATATGCAAAATATCAATAGGTTTGAACAAAAACCTCAAGAATAATGTAGATAAATCTTAACCAGCAAGTATGCACTTGTACTAATACATTAATGTCAAATATTTGTATATATAAATAATTTATATATAATATAAATAAATAATGAGCCTCAATTTAGATTGGGTCCTGGGCTGGCCCTTTTCGCCCGAGCCCAGTTGAAAGGATATTTATTATGTTAAGGTAAGTAATACAATTACTAAAATGGAGGAGGGAGTATAATACTTCATCCTCATTTAAATTTATTTTCAATTTCTTTTTTATTGTCATTCAAATTTATTTTTATTTCTTTTTTTAGTAACAAAAAAATACTACTTTTCTACTTTTTCTTTATCCAAAAAAATAAAAAAAATTATTTTTACTTACTTTTCTTAAAATTCGTATCCAATCAAATAAACATACAAATAAATGACAAAAATAATATATATTTTAATATAATATATAATATGTACTTATTTATTCACCTTAATAGAGTATTATTTTATATATTATCGATATAATTTTTATAACTAACATAAAATAAAATAAATAAATATATATATATATTCATAAAGAAAAACACAAAATGGAGCACCCTTATTTTATTTTAATAAAATATCTTTTTCTCACAGGTATAGTGGTGGAACAGGCTGTCGCCATCTGACTTGAGGAAGTAATAGCAAAATTATAACTCTCTACTTCATTTATATAATATCAAATAATTATTTTAATTAAAAATTTTATTAATTAAAATTAAAACAAAAAATCAAATATTACGTGTAAACACACATAATACCATTAGCTCCGTATCAATCAAATTGAATTATTTATTTTCTTAATAATTAAAAATAATAATATTTCATTACTTATTAAAAATATATAAAATTTTTTTTTGATATTTTTAGTTTTATAAATATAATTAAAAATGATTTTATATATATAGAATTCGAAGTATTTTGATATTATATATAATTATTTTTATTATAATAAAAAAATATATTTTTAACTGAGATAGACAAAAATATTTAAATAATTAAATTGAGATGAGAGTGAGAGAATAAAAATATAATTTTTTATTAATAAACTTATTATTTTTTTT